TCCGTCAAACCCTACTTCTTGGAGAGGTAGAAAACTTGTTTCCCAAATAATTGGAATTAAAATTCTTACCCAATTCCAACTCCCATTAGCCACAAGTCCTTGTTTCGGCCAAACCCTAAATAAAAATGAAAATTGCAATTCAGTCCTCTAAATCTTCAAGTCTTCTAATTTCTTCCTTGTCAATTTATCAAATCTTCAATTCTCCCCTTTGAGTTTCTTTTTCTTTATTTTAGTCGAAAATTTCAACAATTCCTCTATTTGAGTATAAAACCTACAAATAAAGATAAAACCATATAAATAGCATATTTGTACTCAAAATATATTGTAAAAATCACAAATTACAGATATAATAAATAGGTAAAATATAAGCATATCACCATTTAAGTTTAAGGCAAAAGTATTCCGCGATGGATGCTTCAAATATAAAACTCATACCATTTTCCTCACCGGTGGTTCTACTTTAACTTGAAACATTTGATGTAGAAAATTGTGTTCTGCTTTTACTTTTGCGTGGAGCTTACAATCATGCTCATTAATGAAATCTAAAAATGACCTTAAGTCAATCTTTATTCCCACATGTGTGACCCTATTTCGAAATTTCAAGATTTTCCACATTATAAATGATGGTAATTCAAAAATAATAGATTGTAATGTTGACGAAAAAGAACGTTGTTGATACCATGCATGAAAATATTTTTTTAGACCCGCTACTAATGAGATCGACAAACCAAGTATAGAAGCAAAGTAATAACAGATTTGACGAGACATGCCGCAATGATCAAAAACATGTTAAACATCTTACTTTCCTGGCAACAAAAGGGGCATCGGGAAGCATAGGAATTAAAGCCTAATTTGCTGCAATGATCTGCAAAAGGCAACAAGGTGTTCAGAAGCTTCCAAGTGAAAAGAATTATTCAATGGAATTATTTTATGCCATATATATTTAGAAAATGGAGGGTTTTCGAGTCTCCATTATGAGTTAATATGCCATTTATATGAAAATATGCCTAGTCGATGTTAGCTTCCACATGTATGTATCACTTCCTTAGAAAAAATTAAGTCAATCGCCTCAATCAACAAAATTCTGGCTGCAACTTCCCCTAAAACTCATCCATGTATCTCTCCTTTTCATTAAAAAATCACATATTGTCAAGTGTTTACATTGTTTAACAACAATAGCATCCCCTTCGTTGAAGACATCAATGTCCAGCCAGTTCTGGTTCCAAAACGAGCTGGAACCATTACATCTCGATGAATGATCTGTGGGCTGCAATTTTACCAATCTTTAGAAGTCTATTCCAGCTCTAATCCAGTGATGTTTTCGATGAGGAGTTGACAAATTTGGCCCAAATTCCTTGCTTCGTTTTGACCTTCAGCATATTTTGATTTAAAATGGGCATATCACATCCTGAAATCCAATATCATTTTCATGTGTTGGAAACAAAAGATGATTCTAGGTCCAATGCCGATTCGGCTTTCCATCTGTCTCGCCCCAAAGGAAATTCTGACACTTAACTTCAAGAGTTTCCAAAGTTGATTTCGGAGGAGGTATCGAAGCAAACGAATGAATAGGAATGGCAGCAAGTATATGCTTAATCAACAATTTGTTTTTTTCTTTTTGTGTTAATGATTACAATTTTTTTCCCATTGCCAGCTCATTCAAATCTGCCATCCTCTTTTTTTGTTTTTTGTTTTTTTTTTTTTTGCGCTTCATTCCCTTTTGATTAAATTTCTTGTAGATTTGTAATTGATAGTATCTTTAGCAGTGCCTAAGGGTAATTTAATAGAAGACCAAGTCCAAAACATGTATTTTAAAGTTACCTTTCTTTATTTAATTAATTTTTTTTTGTCAAACAACTCAACCTAAAAAAAACAAATTGAGGGTTACAAATCATATTTGCCATTTTTGCTGCCGAGTAAAAGTACTTCGATGAGGATATGAACTATGAATACTCGAATTGGTACACCAATAATATACGATTCACGTAAATCTTCGATGAGGGTTACAAATCATATTTGCCATGAATGTTGGAACTATGAAATACTCGTTCGATATATTGTACCGTAGTAATTTTTGTATGTGTGGGTGTTTCTTTTTTTTTTTTTTCCCTTTAGCGGTTCACAATACATAGGACAATTATATTCCTTCTATTTAAAACCGTTGTTTTAACCTTATATAAAAATTTTGCATTGGGAGGTAAAACTTATGAATTTAGTCAAAGTATTAATGCTAGAACAAATTACTTTTTCTCTTTTAAATTCGAGCTCTTACCCCTGCTAACACATTTTTTTTTATGTTAAATTTATGTCATAAAATATTATAATTTTTTTTTAAATTCACCTTAGTGGACCCCACTTAAATGTGGATAAACTTCCATCCCCTTACATATCCCTTGGTGGGAATTGAACCCATGTCAAATACCAGAAAGAATGCTTTTCATGAATGCAAGGCTGTCTCCCTTGTTCTTTATAAGGAGCTTGAGACCTCATTTGTAAGCATGAGAGGAAGAGTGCCTTTCATGGATGAGGGTTAGTATCCTTGTAAGAGTGCTAGATAGAGTTCTAGTACTTGGAGAGTAGCTCTTGTACTTTAGAGAGTAGAATAGCTAGAGTGCTCTTGGTGAGCTTGAATGTAGATCAAGTGTTGTCCCTTGTATTCTTGCATTGAGTTGCTTGATATGAGATACGGTGTGTTGCCAAGTGCTTGGAGCCCGTTCCACATTTATCGTGTTGTTGTGTGTTGTTTCTATTCTCTCAATCTTACGAGTTTTTATGTGCTTCGATTTGGCTAAGTGCTTAAAGTTGTTTCTAATCGGGCTATAGAGTTAGCCATTTTGTTAGTCTTCCACTATGTGGCTCTTAACTGGGTTTGTGATTTTCCGCGTAGATCTGGTTTCTTATCCCAGTAACCCGTTGGTCAGGTCGTGCTGTGTGCTTCCCCTGGGGTAGGTAGCAAGCGCACCGGATTTTCTTGGTAAGGGGGAAGGCCGGTGACAGTTTGATATCTCCCTCCCTCATAAAATTATTGTCAAATTTAGATTTTCATTTATAATTCAATTTGTACTAAAATTGAAAATTCAAATTAGATTCTCCCTCTGTCCAAAATTATGGTCCAGTTTGAATTTTTCATTTAGTTTAATTTGTACTGAAAATAAAAATATAATAGACAATAATTTCATGATGGAGGAAATAATAATTTCAGATGGAGGGAGCATTTACATTCCCAGCCATAATCATACAACCCCGGCCAGAAGAAAAACTCCAGAAGAAAGGAAAAAAATTTATCGAAGAGAGATTATTGCATTGGGAGACCCAAGGATGCTACTATATAAAGAGTTCATCGATGGAAAAACTTAACAAATATATAAAGTACAAGTATACCTAGATATTTTCATTAGTTTAATTATATTTTCATAAGGGATTATGGGGATGTGTAATTCGTCTGGAGGCAAATGGAAAAATCCAATAACGTACTTACACAAATGGAAAAGAAATGCAATAGATTAAATTTCATCTTGTAACCAAATTTGGGCAGACAAGTAATATAGTATATGTGAGTGATTCTGCCAAAATGTAGTATGCATCAGCATCACTTGCCATGTTGTAGGTATTTTAACCTTTTTTTGGCTACTTCCTCACTGAGAATAAAATAAATTCATTAATTATTAAAAAGCAGTTTTATTCTACTTCCATTCTACAAAAAATAATCACGAATAATAAAGATTAAACGAATGAAAACAATGTCCAAATTAATCTATTCTGATGTTCAAATCTTGATACAAATAATAATAAAACTAGGTTTACGTCACTAATTAACGGTAAAATTTAACAAAATGAATTGATTGGATTTCTAGCGTAGTATGACAGTCTATTTTGGAAATAAATTTGATTGACGACATGTGATGAAATGACTAGTTTTGTAGTTCATTTTCAATAAACATAAACGGATTCACAGATCTAGAGCCACTGGCGTTCGCGCTTTTTGTTATTCTACTACACGCCATATTCCTTTTCGGTCGCAATTTTTTTCTTTTTGTAAAAATATTTTATGGTTTTATAAATGGACCGTGTCTATCAGTTTTGAGCTTTCCTGCTTCAAGTACAATTATCTCTTCCCCTCATAACTTTTTTCCTCTGTGCAGTCAAATATACGTGGTGATAGTTAAAGATATCATAATTGTCATCACAAGTTAGTCCAATTTTTCTCTTAAATATTGAATTAAGTAAATTGCTGTAAAACAGTTAAAGAGAATTTATTTTTATTTTTATTTTTGTTTTTATTAGGCATACGATTCACGGTATTGAAACACGAAAATAAATTGTTTAATGATTAGCCATACACAAATCTGGGAAAAAAATCAAGGCCAGTAAAATAGTTTTTACTGAAACCAAGCAGTTGGCTTCATTTGTAAAAAAAAAAAAATTGTCTTAGTTATTGGTAACGTTTTTCAAATTTAACTTCATTAGAGAAAATGTAACTCCATTCAACAAATACTTCTACACTTAATATTTTTCTTTAACAAGCCTAAAAGACAGGACCTTGTGACAATATTAATTTAGCGTTCAAATTTGTTATTTTATACAATTAAAGGTCAAAGGAATTTTTAACTAGCAGTTTTGATTCGAAGTTTAGAATGTAGCGGTATCCACAAAAGCGGTATTTATAATTTTTCACGATCGATTCTCCAATTGAACCCAACAAAGATGTGTTGGTGTTCATATTGCACATAATATATGTTTCTTCTCTTGATGCCATGAACTGCGAGGCTTATTGTTTGGTAACTTAAGATGTTGTGGAACTTAATAATGATTCATGTAATTAAGAAAGTATCCAATTCACCGAATTCAGAAGATGAGAGCAGCATAAAATAAATAAGGAAAGCAACCTTTAGTCACTACATTGCATTGAATTTTTCCCCCAAAATAAAATAGAACAAACATAACAAAGGATTTTTGAGATGAGGAATAACAAGAATAATGTGATCTTTCTCATATGGAATTCACACATTCTTTTTAGCTTCGTGATCTTCACATTCTCTGGAAATCGGAATTTCGACATCCACCATGTTTTCCAGCATTTTGTATTCTTCGCCGGTGATGCTCCTAACTTTTGGAGGTGTTCGGTTCATAGGTGGTGGTGGAGGAGGTAGATCGGAAAGATCAAAGGAACAACCGGGTTGTATGACTATTTTGCGATGAAATATACGCTGGCAACCACAATCACTGCATATAATCGAATCCGGATCACTTGATGAACCGATAGTACTAGGCTTGAATTCAACACAACCATTAGTGAGGTGATTACGGACACATTCTCTGTAAATGACGGTAGAATGAAGCTTTGTATTTTCAATCCCGGCCATAAAAATATAATCTCAGACGGAAAAACTCAAGGAGAAGAAAAAAATTTTCTTAGAGAGATTATTGCATTGGGAGGTCCAAGGCTGCGACTATTTAAAGAGCATAACCAACATGTTATGTGGTCATTAATGGAAATGTTAAGATGTACATGTATAAAATATAAAATGACATAGATATTTTCATGAATTTAATTTAATTGATTTTCATAATGGGGTTGTAAGGACGTAATTCATCTGGAGACAATGAAAAAAGTTATCAACGTATTTACACAAATGGAAAAGAAATGAAATAGTAATTTAGAGATTGCAACCCAAGTTGGACACTAGTGTACATGAAGAGAAGGCAACAGATTCAGAGTACTTGTGAGTAGGATCCAACGTATACAACATTTTTCAAAATGTATTAGCGGGATTTTTACCTTTTTTGGCTACTTCTTCTTTTAGTAAATAATAAATTCATTAATTGCTTAAAGTTGATTGATTCTACCTCCGTCCTACAAAAATAATGATAAAGGATGTGGGTTAAATATACAGATTAATCAAAACCTTATGATTCTTTAAAAGACAACTTAAAGTTGTGTGATGTTCAAGTCTTGATGATGATGATGATAATAATAATAATAATAATAATAATAATAATAATAATAATAATGATAATAATAATAATAATCATTACATTAACAACAATAACAATAGTAATAATAAATACAAACATGAATGGAATTAGAGATCTAGAGCCATATGTGTTCGTGCTCTAAATTATCTACACGCCATGGTGGTAGATTTTCTTCTTATTAGTATTGTTAGAAAAATATTTTATTCGAAGAGGAAGGCATATGTATCGGTTAGGAGCTTTGTTCCTTCAACTATAATTTTCTCTTCCCCTCATAACTTTTATCCTTTGTTCAGTCTGGTGACAATTAAGATCACAATAGTCATCACAAGTTTGGCTAATTTGTTTTAATAGAGAGGGAGTAAATACACAAACAAGATTTATCATGAATAAGAAGCACCGATAATATCATATTTTATTCATTACTTGATTCACAGCGGTAAATTTTTTAGCCACTGCAAATTAGCAGTGGTCCATATTCCTTGTGTGCGCAATTTAATCTCATTTGATAGTATGTGAGTGAATACTAGTTAACAGTTAATTATGGAAACTCCAAACAGTACTTCTTCATTTTCTTTTCTTTTTACTGTTTTTTTTTTTTGAAAAAAGAGAAATGGAGACCCCTCTTACATGTAAATGAATAGCTAGTAACACAATTTTGGGTATATATAATATAGAAGTGAAAAACACTTAACGACTTTTTCACGTACATTAAGAATATGAAAGTGAATGTAAGATATTATTATAACATTTTGAACGATTGTTCTACATACAAACAAATTAAATTTCAAGACTAATTATATGAATTTATTTTATTGCACAATTAAAATACTGCTTCTAATTACTTAACAAGGGATCCCCTTTTTCAACTTACGTTGTTTAGTATGTTGCACCCAACTCCTAAACACCTTCACGCATATGCCCATTTCTTCACAAAATTTCATCACCTCGTTTTGTTTATCTCTAGGGATTTTCCAATCGTACCTACTCATAAATTCTATACCCTTTTGTCTCTGAATATCATTAAAATATGTCTTTTTCTTCCGTTTCTTCACAGCCCCATTGGTTTGTCCAATGGCCATAGGGTCGCCATTTGAATCGCCCAAGCCAACCACTTTTTCGGTGAAATGATCTTCATTTGGAATTTCCACTTCTTTTTTAACCCCATCAGTGACGGAACCAACCCTCGATTTCCATAGAGGTTCCATTGAAACTTCTTTTTGGGGATTACATTTAAATTGCTCAGCTTTAACAAAAGTCTGTTCCTGAGCTGCATGATCTACAATAGGAGAGTTTTGATAACTAGAATAAGTAGGACTAATCTTAGGTAATTTACTTACCTCTTTCTCCTCCTTACTTTTAAATTGACCTTTATGTTGAGCATTTTCAGCTTCTTTCCTAGAGGAAGCGCGATGAAATTCATTTGAAGTCGGCCTTTTTGCTACATTAATCTTGATCATTCTTTTGTATTCCGCACCAGTTATACTTCGAATTTGTGGCGGGCTTCTATTCCTTGGTGGTTGAGGTGGTGGAGGGACAACATTACGATGAAATTCTTGAGGGCGTCCGCAAGCTAGGCATACAATGAAGTTGGAATTGCTTGATGAACCTACGAAAGGTTTAATTTCATCGCAGGCATATTGATGAACAGAAGTAGAAGAATTCTTTGTGAATTTATTGCGGTTGATTAAGACACATTCCTTGAATGTGGCAGAAGATTCTGGTTTTAGATTTTCAGAAACATCCATGGTTGAACAACCCAAACAAAATGAAGGTAAAGAGGAAGAAGAAATCTAGCTACCGATTTTCTAGTACTGCAAGATTCAATTAATAGAAGGAACTTGTGATGAATTGGTAATGCTTGGTGAATTATAAAAGCTATCAAGCTGCAACTATTTATAGGGGTTTCAGAATAGGATTACATGGTAAGTAATGTGGTTATAATTATTTGGGTAGTTAAAACTAATCATTTACATTTTAATTCAGTCATTGATTAAGAATCAGGGGGAGTAATGCGTATGATTAGCACAATGATTAACTGTTAAAAAAAAACTGAAATAAGGTGCAGGAAGTATAGATATAATTTCATGAATCATCATCAGTATTTAAACTTTCTTAAAAAAAATGGTGAAATAAAATTAGCTCCTGTGGTTTGGCCAAACAACGACATGGACCTTACCGTTAGGCATATAACAATGGCCCCCTTTTTGTCTATCTGAATTTGTAAGTCAATCGGCAAAGGGCAAGGAAAGACCAAAAAACCTAGACTATGTTTTTCAATTTATGATGAAATAAAGTATGTAATGGATAAAGAATAGTTATTTTCTCTTTCTTCTTCTTCTCTGCCTTTGCCATCTTCTCTCTTCGGCGGTTCCTACATTCCATCTCATCACGTCTTTGCTGCGGGCTGACTAATCATGTATTTCGTCTGAAAAAGAATAAAACTTTTAACGAAAGAAAGAAAACATATCACTCGGCCGTTCTAATGGAAATTGAACCCTTGTTTCGGTTCTAAAAATCATCGCAGCCATGGTATTGTTTTTTGTAAATAATTGTACCTAATTGTAAATGATTGTAAATAGTTTGTCATCGTTTTGGGGTTAATGTGTACATATACTAAACTTACAGGCTCTTAGTTCTACAGTTAGTGAGTATAGTTCGTTAGTCTTCATTTACGCGCTTTCTGACGTCATCTTATGTACAGCCTATTTAAAGAGGCAATCTCGGTCTTTAAATGATTAGAACAATTAATACAATTCACAATTCAAACTCAATTTTACGGCTTACAGAACTGAAAACCTAGCTCTTCATTTCCAATCGATTTTCTTCAAATTAACCATCAAAATTTGAAGATGGTATCAGAGCGGGATTAGATCCTACTCTATACCGGATTCGCAGACCTTTGATCAGAGAATTTTAGCTCCAATGCCTCTCAATCGAAAACCACAGGCGTTGCAATTTGTTCGAACGAAGGTCAAGAAACAACAATGGCAGCTCGACGTATGGAAGATGACAGAAACGGAGGTCACTGAAATGAAGGAGAACTGATTCTCAATACCAGCGGTTACACTCATCCACTGGTACTTCATCCTTCTGACAATTCCTCCATGATTATCGTGAATACGAAATTGAATGATTTGGACTATGTTTCATGGAGTCATAGTGTAAGAAGATTTCTCGGTACTAAGATCAAATTAGGCTTTATAACTTGAAGTGTTAAGGAAGCACAGAATGATGATCCTCTTTACGAGCAGTGGCATAGAGTTAATGATACAATAGTATCCTGGTTGTTGAATGCTTTGTCACCTGAGATAATTGATAACTTTGATTTAGCAAGTAATGCAAAGGATCTATGGGATGAATTGAAAGCTAGTTATGGCACGAGTAATGGTCCACAAATTTATCATCTGCGTAGAGAAGTGGCTACTATAGCACAGGGTAAGATGTCATTAGCAGCATATTACTCCAAGCTTAAGAGACTCTGGGATGAGCTAAGTTGTGTTGATCCACTGGAAGACTGTGGATGTGGAACTGTGAAGAATGGAGGATGAGAGAACATGCACAGGCTCATGGAATTTCTCAGTGGTCTGAATGAGTGATATAGCTCTGTTAGAAGTCAAATTTTGATTATGGAGCCATTTCCAGAAGCTAAGAAAGCATACTCAATTGTGCTAAACGTTGAGAAACAGAGAATGGTGGACATGATTTATTCAGAACCGGCACGAGCTAATTGTACCTAATTGTAAATAATTGTAAATAGTTTGTCATCGTTTTTTCAACTAGAATTACATATTTCTGAAAAAAACCAGTAATTACATAAAATTGGAGATTTTTGACTTCTAGTTATTTGTGTGTTTCTTAAAAAAATATTGAAATTTACTATAAACTTTAATTTACGTGAATGAGTTTTATCTCTTGTCAGTAGAGTCCTCCGGTAGTACGTGGATTAGTCAAGTTAGTAGATAAATGTGAATGAAACTTTTAGAAATTTGGTATACGACAGCTTTATTTCTCAATCCACGATGGACGCTCTAAGCAACTTAAGAAAATTAATTGCTTTTTGAAGGAACGGCAAGGTGATAAATAAATAAATCAAAATAAATTAAAAGTGAATGCAAAATTCGAAGTTAGGCTGCAATCAAAACAATATGAAGCAATGACATAACTTGGAATCAAACGAGAATCCGAAATTCCAAGGGCTCCAAGTGTTTGCATATAACTCATCAATTCCAGCACTTTGGTGAGAACAACCAATTCGTTTTCATAATATTCATTATATCATACTTCTTTTATCCCAAAATTATTGTCAACTTTTAATCTTCACTATTAGTTTAATTGTAGACGAAGGTTGCAGACGAAGTCCTAACTGTTAGACATCAAATATGTATGCCAGTTGCCTATGACCATTAGAAGATTTCTAGTAAGCGATGCGTGGATTTTTTTTTTATTATTCTTGTTGTTTTTGTTTGGGAAACTGTAAAACCTTTTCATTATGAACAACAAAGCTCATATTTACATCCAAAATGTCAAAAATTTATGCTACTCAACTAAGTAACTTTGATCCGGAATGTACTTCTGAATCAAACTAGACTCTACTGGGGAGAGTTTCTTGACTTGGTACATTTTAACTCTAAGATATAACACCTCCTTAATCAGGAAGACAATTTCATCTATACTTCTTCTTTTGGCCCTGAAAATGACACTATTCCTTTCTTCCTAGCAATGATATATGACAGCTGCAACTGCTGTATTCCATAGTAGGAATTTCAGCCTTGTGCCTCTCCAAATTCTTCTGACATCCTTCCTCCATATTTCCCAGTCTGTGGACAATTTTCTAACTCCCAGCCAAGCAGTAATCTGATGCAAAATGCCAGAAGTAATAGTACACCCAAAGAAGAGATGTTGATGACTTTCAGATGAGAATGACACAATGCACACAAAGGGTCTACTTCTGTGATGGACATTGTGAGCATCATATTAGTCAACAATCTACTCTACCACATGAGCCAAGCAATAAAAGTATGCTTAGGAACATTTAGTTTTGACCAAATCAAGGTTGATTCAGGGACTTCAGGAAAATTCCCCTGCAACCACATGTATCCAGCAGCAATACTATAATTACCTGATACATTCCCTTTCAATAATCCATCTCTCCCTAAGTCTCTGACTTTCAGAATTTGCTTCTAGTGCTAGCTAGAATCTTGCCTCTTCTCCACTTCCCATATAGACTGCCCCTTCAAGTAGACTTCATGGGTCCATTTTACCCATAAGGTGTCACTTTTTCTAGCCAAGTTCCAAACCAGTTTTAAGATGGCAGCTTGATTCCGGAGTTTCACATCTCTGATCCCCCGGCCACCTTCAGTTTTCTTCTTACATAGGATATCCAAAGCTACCAAAGGCAAGGATCTGCCAATTTGTTTAGGCCCCCAGACACACTCTCTGCAAATTCTGGTCACCTGTTTAATAACACTACTAGGCAGAATAAAGGAACAGGCCCAAAATACATGTAATGACATAAGTACAGAGTTTGTCAACTGGACTCTAGCAGCATAAGATAAATTTCTAGTTTCCCAACACTTAATTCTAGCCATCATTTTCTGAATTAATTGAGCACAATCACTCTGAGACCATTTCTTGGGAGAGATAGGAACACCAAGATACCTCATTGGGAATTCACCTTCTGCAAAACCTGTCAGATCACAGAATCTTCTTCTACTCACCTCCCAAAGAAGCTATGAGATTTCTGGATGTTAAGGAACAGTCCAGTAGTAGCATAGAATGCTCCAAGACCTGCAATCAATCTTTGAATAGAACTTTCATCTGCTTTGCAAAACAACATGAAGTCATCTGCAAAACAAATGTTAGTCGGTTTCAAATTTGTGCACAATGGATGAAATTTAAAATTAGGTATCTCTGATACTAAGCGAAGATTCCTGGTAAGATACTCCATAACAAGAACAGATAGATAAGAAGATGTGGGATCTACCTGTCTAAGTCCTCTTCTTCCTGCAAAATTGCCAACTATAGCACCATTCATAACTAATGAGAATGTTGGTGTGGTAACACATGCCATGATCCAGCTGATAAGCTGCCCAGGAAATCCATAACCCTGCAGCATTTCTTCAATGAATTCCCATTCAATTGTATCAAAAGCTTATCGATTTTCGTTAGCACTCAGCCTGAGACATTTCTCCTCCTGTATAACCTGACCAACTCTTGCACTATGAGAACATTGTGCATTAGAAGCATACCTTTTATAAAGGCACTCTGATTCTCGTTCACAAGATCTGACAGTATATCCTTCATCCTTTCACACCAAACCTTGGAGATGCATTTATAGACCACATTGCAGCAAGCAATGGGCCTATATTCTCCTGCATTTCTTGGAGAGTCATTCTTGGGGATGAGAGTCAACAAGGTCGAATTCAGCTGCTTTAGCATACAACTAGATTTGAAGAAGAATTCCTGAACTGCTGCTATAACATCAATTCCAATGATTTTCCAGGTTTTCTTGAAAAAGTCACTAGAAAAGCCATCTGGGCCCGGGCTCTTATTTCCATCTATGCTCCACAATGCTTTCTTAATTTCACTCTCTGAAATAGGCTTTATAAGATCAAGTTGCTGATGTACTGATCCTACTGGAAAACACTGACATCAGATTTGGTTCTTTGTATCTTTTGACCAAGCTACAACTGATAAAATACTAAGAAGTGATTTTCCATATCCTTCCAGTCAGTTCTCAAGACTCTATTGTCATCTAAGTAGGACCAGATCCTGTTCTTCACATTTCTCTGTTTAACCTTGGCATGAAACAATACCGTATTGTTGTCCCCCTACTGAATCCAGTTTTCCTTGGCTTTTTGAGACCAGTAAGACTCTAAAGCTTTGGCTAACTAGAAGTATTCATGGTCGCTTTCCCTTTCTTCTAACACATCATCAGGACTTCAATGAATTCGATTTTGATCTTCCACTAACCTCTGGTAAGCCTTCTGTGTTCTTGTTTGGAATTCAGGAAATATCTGCTTGTCCAGCTTTCGGAGAACAGGCTGCAACCTTTTCGACTTTTGAACTAGCTGAAACATCCAACTGTTACTAACCAGGCTAAAGAGACTACTATCCAAACACCACATATTATAATACCTAAACATTCTAGGTGGACTTCTTACTTTAGCATCAGTCTGAATTATGAAGGGAGTATGGTCAGAGACTCCCTCTGCTAAAACAGTAGCAATGGAACTCTCATATTGCAGATTCCAGTCTAGATTAAGTAATGCTCGATCTATTCTGGATGTACTTCGTGCATCTTCAAGCTGCTTATTACTCCAAGTAAACAGGTGGCCCTGCTGCTTCAAGTCTTGCAACTCACAAATATCCACACATCTTTGGAAGCCTTGCATTTCTACTAGGGACACATGATTTCCACCAAGCCTCTCTTCTGGCCTTAAGACATTATTAAAGTCCTCAGTAATCAACCAAGCACCATCTATATTATTCGACATGGCAATTAAATCCTCCCATAATTGAGCTCTTTCAGACAGACTATTGCTAGCATAAACAGCAGTAAGATAAAACCAGCTATTTCTACTAGCACAGACCTTACAGTTCACAAATTGATTAGAAGCACTTAATACAGCAATAGTATTCTCCTTCTTCCATAGCAAACAAACTCTTCCTCTAGGGCTATGATCACAGTTAACATAATATTCATAACTTGGCCATCTACTTTTTATGTATTCTATTCCTTTACTTTGCACCAACTTCATTTCATACAGACAAAGAATCTCTATTTTACATAATGCAGCTGAATTAGATACTTCTCTTTGCTTACAGAGGCTGTTTAGACCTCTGATATTCCAACATAATAGAGTTGTCATATTATACCTGGATTAGGCTCCTTTGGTAATCCGCTTTGCTCCTCCTGCTAATCAACTGCTCCTTCATGACTTGGTCCTGTTGTATCAACTGCAGCTAATACAGAGAACATAGATTGCTGAGGCTTCCAGAGTTGAGTTGCTTCTTCACTGATAAGAGCTGTAGTAGGAATAATCACCTCCACAAGCATCTCCTGGTCATTCTTTTCATTCTCTATCACCACTTCTTTTCCTTTCTGAACTTGACGCCACTCTTTTTCAACAGTACTGTTAATTTTAGGAGCACCCGTGCTTGATTTTTCCCCCATAGTTGCAATGATCTTCTTCCTACAGACCTCCCCACCATGACCATAGCCATTACAGTGCGAACATCTCGTAGGCCTCCACTCGTAGAACACAACTTGAGTTTGAACAGATCCATGCTCATCTTCATAATACGTTTCCACTGGTGGAAAATCCTGTATCTCCACACCGACAAGTACTCTAGCAAATTGAACTTTGGATTTCTCAGTGGTTTCAGTATCAGCCATAATAGGCCTCCCCAAATTATTGTCCAGCCTACTAAGGCATGCAGGGTTCCAATATTTAAGCTCCAAACCAGGGAATTGAATCCAAATATGGACGTGCAAGACTTCCTTCAAATTAATTCCCTGTTCTAGGCTCCATGGTTTTACTAAACAAGATTATTCTCCATATGATAAATATTAACACTAAGTGCTTCATCTTTAGCTGCTTCAGACTTAAAACGCACTAAGAATAACCGAGATGGCAGTAAAGAACTTTATCAATGTTGCCTTTCCACAAATTGGGATAATATCGATCCATCCCTGAAAGGGAGGATTAGCTCCCAGGACAAAGCTCAGAATGGATTGTTCCCAGTATTCCACCTCCATTTGCACATCTGGCTTACCCATCTGACAGATTTTCCTTCCATCATGCTCCTTTGGTTTAATAAAATCCAGCTTCGCTCCCGACTTCTTCAGTTTTTTCAGGTCAAATTGCTCCCAGAGATGGTGCACCTTCTGCAGATCCGGAGAGTTATGAGAAGACCAGTCAATTCGCCTCGCAGTAGGAACACCTAGAATATCACTTAGCTTTTTAGATGCATCACCATTAACAGTGTCAGCAATTCCTTTTGAAATTTAATCTCTAGGGTTTGACAAATGAATCCCCTTTGCAATACTCCTTTCCCTAGCTGAATTAATCGAAACTGCCTCTTAATTCTTCTTTCCCATGTTGCTAGAAGCCACAATAGAAGTGAGATTCGACGTTTTTGCTTTCCGTTTCCCCTTCTGTTTGACCTTTACCATGGCAAAATCTCACTCATTCGAAATCGCCTAGAGAGAGAAAGAAAAGAGGAGAGAGAACACTTTTATTATTATTATTATTATTATTATTATTATTATTATTATTATTATTATTCTTGCGATAAATAGTTTTTGCTTCAAATCGTCCAGTTGCGATTGACTGACAGCCACTAAAATATGTGACCAATTGATACATTCAGAATATATTGTGTTACTGCCAATGTTATATCAATCTATTAGGTCACACTCAATGGTTAACAATTTGGGTTGTAGTTTCAAAAAAAAGAAGTTAATTAAGGATATAACGATAATTATGTCTTTAGGACTTCACTATTCTAAATAAATAGCGATAGCCTGCCACTAGAGTGTAAATGGTCCCATATCTTTCTCTCCACTACTAGCATAGCGTAGTTATTGCAATAAGGCCTAACGGTCTCGTTCATCCGAGTGGATATTGAAAGAGGCAAGCCATTTGAGTTGCTAGTGATTCCAATATGTCTATTTATCGGTGAAAAATATATTCGATACACTTTGTGTTAGTAATTCACATGGATCTTGGTTTAGGATTCTTGAATTATTTCACTGTGTTTATGTGATCTGAACGCAACAATTCTTGGCTAAAGACACTAACTCATGTGCTATATAGTTTCTACACCGTCGAACCCAAAAAATTCCCTAGGGATAAGATTGGCTAAGCAAGTTACGAATTGTTTCACTAGTTCAGAGTCGTCAGAATCTGAGACTACTACTTGAGCTGTAAGAATAGGATTCAAAGTCCACCAAAATAGAAAATATTTTTCCCAGTCCACATTCAACGGCAAACAACAAAGCCTCCCTTAAGCCAGAGCTTCTGCATTTTCGGGGTCCGTTATTTCCCTAACCTTCCTCGACCTGCACTTGACAAAATTTCCCTCCGAATCTTCGTACCACAAATCCTAGACCCGCACATCGATGAAATCGAGTAATTCCTCCGTCAAACAAAACTTCGGCCTGGCATCGGTATAGAGCCATCTGCTATCAGCAAGGGACCTGTTTTATGGCTGTAAGAGCGAACAATCCCGGAATGTAGTAGTGGACATGCACGCCGAATATTATCCCGCGAATATGGTAGCTCGACAATTCTGGTTTGCCCAAAGCGTGCCGCACTTTGATGTATCTTGCTGGAATACAGGGAGACTTGGTACAGAAAAGCTCACAATGGCTCAATATACCACGCATCGGGAGTTGATGGATCTGAGAGGTAGGTCAGCAACAACAATTCCATTCAATTTCTGTTTCAATGCAACACTTGGATTTGCAGACTGGTGGTATGAACTATCAATTGGTATGTACTGTTCTGGGTACCAGGAAATCAAAATCTCCTTTGGCATTGGCAAGTTTGCCAAAAACAAGCCAGTTGGTGGTGTTGTAGAAAGAGAGAAGAAAGGTAAAAACAACTATTGCCCCAAATTGATGTTGTAAATAAATCTCTGTGTCACTCTTGTGCTTGAATATTATATTTGCAGGGAAAAGAAAAAGTGTTGCCACAGCAAAGACTGGTGGTCAATCAAGCAAGAAGAGCACTGCAACCGCCGTTGTAAGGGCAAAAACAAGTACTGGGAAGGATGCTCCAACCTCCACCCGTCGATCCAAGAGGTTGATTGGTAGGAAGCGGTCTACTAGTGAAGTCAGCAATAAGGTAACATTAATATTACTAGCATGATGACACCTTGTCAAACGGAATAATGACAATTATTCTCCGTCTTTTGCCATGTATGACAAGAGAATCCCGTATCTGTGTCTGAGAGTGAAGAGGAAGAAGCAGAGAGCCCAGGCAGCGAGAATGGTTCTGTTGTAGTAGCTGAAGATAAAACTGTGCAGAAAATAGTTCTTGAGACTGGCGGTTCTAGAAGCAAAAGAATAATGAAAACGCGCAGTTCGAGCGCTCCAACCACTTCTGGGAAGAAAGCTCCTCCATCCTTTCACTCAAAGCTAGATTGGAACCAACAAAAGTGGCATCTTATGTGAAAACAGAAGAAATGTCTAGTGTCCCTGAAATGCCTCTAGGAGTTGCTTTGCAACAAATCACAGAGATATTTCAATTGTCTGCCAAAGAAGTATATACCGAAAGGTACGATTGATATGTTTATATTTTACCTATTTATTATATCCCTAATTTGTGATTTTTACAATACATTTTGAGTACAAATATGCTATTTATATGATTTTATCTTTATTTGTAGATCTGTACTCAAAAGGAGGAATTGTTGAAATTGTGGGCTAAAATGAAGATAAAAGCAACTCAAAGGGGAGAATTGAAGATTTGATTAATTAACAAGGAAGATATTAGAACACTTGAAGATTTAGAGGACTGAATTGCAATTTTCAATTTTTTTAGGGTTTGGCCGAAACAATGTGGTGCGGCTGTTTTTGGGTAAGAATTTTAATCCTAATATTATTTGGGGAAACAAGTTTTCTTCTTCTCCAAGTAGTAGGGTTTGACGAAAACCTTTAAAAGGTGGATTAGGGTTTTATTTTTACAACCGAACTTGACCGGAAAAAAACCCTACGTCCTCCGCCGATCCACCTTCCTGCCCACCCATCTCCACCCATCATCATCATCATCATCCCATCACCAGCCTGCTTCCTTCTTGCTGCTGCAACTTCCCCCATCTCAACACACCACCTCAATCATCATCAACTCCATCACCGCCCTACACCTTCTACGTAACACACCATCAGCCCCCCACACCTCCACGCACAAGTCCAATGACCTCACCATTATAATCCACGCACCAAATCAGCCCTTCACACACCACACCAGAATCTCCATATTAAACCTGCACATCATCAGAGGGGGAAGCAAGCAGCTGTTCATCAACTTCAATCTCAACTATTGGCTATCTTCGCCCAGGTTTCATTGTTTTATTTATTTTTGAGATGATGTGTAGCTAAATTATTTAATATAGGATTTTGGATGTAGCCGCTGTACTATTTAATTTAATTTAAATTATGATTATGACTTTTTCATTAATTAGTATTTATTATTCTTGTTTTTCATCCATATGAATACATGATCAATATTTGCATGCTTTAAGGTGCTAGCTGAAGTAGCGAGAGTGGAAGGCTAGTATTAGTTTGTAGGAATAATAGACTTAGGTAGTGAGCCATGAGAGTAGGAACACCGCCTTTGCGACTAGTAATTTCAAAGTTCTTAATATACTTTTATTAATCCCTATAGTCACGAGAGTAGTCATAGGGTTAGTTTAAGTAAGAGGGTTATGACACGAGAGTGTATAATTCTTAAATTGGTGAATTGTCGTGAGATTAATGAGTCGAGAGTCACATATCTATAGATTAAATTAAACTGAATAGTTGGTTGGTGAACCCTTTGCCCTAGGCTTTTCGTTTACTTATTTATATCTTTAAATAATTGCAATTGATAGTTTTAGGTTTAGATTAGTTTAAATTGATAAATTAATAATCTAAATAATAATAAGAAATAATTTTAATCGGTACTTGGTAACCTTCTCTGTGGGATCGACCCTGCTTTCTGCTTTACTGCTAGGAATTGTATTAAGTAGGTAATTAATTATTTGACTAGTGTGATGACGGCTCGTCAAATTTGGCACCGTTGCCCGGGGAAGGCATAACCAATATCAAAACTAGATTATTTCTTTTATTATTTTAGATTTGTATATAGTTTCCTTTTCTTTTATTAATTTATTACTTTTATTTTTATTTTTATTTTTATTCTCTTTTCTTTCTTGTGTCAATCTTTTTGTAGGATATTTGAGCTATTATGGAGAATTTTAACTATGGATATGGAGAGACTCCGTATTATGGTTGTGATTCTGAATATGGAGACTATCCTACATATCAAGAAGATCCGTACTCTTGGAACAATTCATTTTCTGAGCCTTACTATGGTTGTGATTATCAAAGGTATTCATTTGATACTGGGTTCAATTTTTGTTTTGAGAGCGCGTATATGAGTCCTAAGATGTTGTCATGTTTGGAGAAAATTGATAAATTGCTGGATGACATCGAGAAGAAAAATACTTCATATTTCTCTCAAGAGGATTGTTATCACTCAAATGGATCATTATATTAACCACCACCTCCTCAACCCACTCTAAGAGAGTTAGCAACTCCTCAACCCACTCTAAGAGAGTTAGCAGGTCGTCAACCTACTCTGAGAGAGCTAGCAGCCTTACAGTCATCACCTTTTAGACCCACTTTGAGACAGTTAGGATCTTCCTATCAGCAGCCACCTGCTAAACCTCAACTTAGTGTTAGAGAGGGAGCTCTTCGAGAATTACAAAGTGAAAAAGGCCAACAACTTATCGAAGAAGTCAATCAATATAGGTTGATTGTGGGGTTGCCGAAATATGATCCTATAGGAAATTTGCTTAAATTGAATAAGAATGAGAAAATTTCTGAAGATAATTCATTGGTCCTGTCTCCCCATCCACCATCTCAAACTGAGCTTGAATGTGAAGAATTAGAAGAGACCGAAGAGATTACAAGTCTAGATATTACAAGTTCTCTTGATTCTTCTGGTATATACATAGTAGTTAAGCATGATTCGCTCATTCTGAGAGTTGGTGACAAGGATGTAGATCAAGTTGATTTCACTGAGCAGAACATTCCTATAGTTTCAAAAGAAGGGTTTCAAGTAGATAAATGTGGCGAGGTTGTCCATAGTATAAGAGATAGTGTGGATGATGTGAAAGTTGGTTCAATGAAAGACCAAGAAGAGGATCAATGGTACAAGATTGAATTTGAGAAAGAGGATGTTGTAGTGTTGGAGTATAAGTTTATATTTTCTCATGGAAAGGAGAACCACTATAAGAGATTCATTATTGCTGCTGAACATGGTTTCTTCTGGTATCGAGATAGGTACTCTAAATGATTGGCCATGGAGTCCAGCTAAAGACTATAAAACAGCGCTTATTGGGAGGCAACCCAAATTTTAATTTCCTTTATTTTATTTTCTTAAATTTGCAAATAAGTTGGTGGTTAATTTTCTTTTCCTGATTATCTGGAGATCTTTGATTTCTGAATTTTCGTAATTTTTCTTAATCATCTGTTTTTTTTGTTTGTTATTCTAATTTACTTTAGTTTGCGATTAGGTTTGTTGGAAGGGCGCAACTCTGATGTCCAATGGTGCTGAAAATGAAACATCCAAAATTCTGAAGAAGTTGGTCGTGTGCTTGGATAGCAGTTGCAACAATTTATTCAACAATTCCGGTCCTCTGTTTTGCATTCCCAAGGTTGTGTTGTTTCTTTTCATTCTTTTTGTTTATGTCTTTTCTTTTCTTTTCACTTGGTTGTCTTGTCTTTTGTGTTTTATGCATTGAGGGCAATGTATGCTTTAAGTGTGGGGGAGAGGAATATTTGTGTTTTGTATTGTGTTTTGTGTTTTACAAACAAAAAAAAAAAAACCCCATAAAAAATTGGAAAAAAAATTAAAAAATCCAAAAAGAGCTATGATGAAGATGGTTTAACTATCTATAACATGTAAGAATTAGACTATTTTGAATTGTATTGCTTAACTTGTGTAATTCAATATGTTGCTTTGAATACCCTGTTATTTATGCACTTAGTCGTAACTGTGGGATAAGCCAAAAATGATCTGGGTATTGACTTGAGTTGGAAAGAGTCCTGAAGAAAAGCTGCATGGACCGAAGAATGGGTTACGAGGGGGAATAGGTTGTCTGTGAGATAAGCCCTTCTACTTCATAGTATGTCTGGTGGTCCATTGCATTGAAATATGGGATGAAATGTGAGTCTGTTGTTAAAGTAAAATGGCATATTTGCAGTAGAGCTTTTGTTCTCTATATTAAATGTAAAGTGATGTCCCTAAGAAATGGATCACACACACACACACAAGCGTGGGGGCTAAAAGTACATATGGTTTGCATTTGGTTAGGTAGTGCATATTAGAGGTAGTCGAGATCTGTGTGTTATATGATGATTGGATAAAAACACTTGAAGATTTAGAGGACTGAATTATAATTTTTGTTTTTTTAGGGTTTGGCCGAAACAAGGTGGTGCGGCTGTTTTTGGAGTTGAATTGGGTAAGAATTTTAATCCCCATATTATTTGCGGAAACAAAGTTTTCTTCTTCTCCAAGTAGTAGGGTTTGACGGAAGCCTATAAAAGGTGGATTAACGTTTTATTTTTACAACCGAACTTGACCGAAAAGAAAACCCTACGTCCTCCGCCGATCCACCTTCCTGCCCACCCATCTCCACGCATCATCATCATCGTCATCCCATCACCAGCCTGCTTCCTTCTTGCCGCTGCAGCTTCCCCCATCTCTACACACCACCTTAATCATCATTAACTCCATTACCGCCTTACACCTTCTATGTAACACACCATCAGCCCCCCACACCTACACGCACAAGTCCAATTACCTCACCATTATAATCCACGCACCAAATCAGCCCTTCACGCACCACACCATAATCTCCATATAAAACCTGCACATCATCGGAGGAGGAAGCAAGCAGTTGTTCATCAACTTCAATCTCAACTATTGGCTATCTTCTTCTCGAATTTCATTGTTTTATTTATTTTTGAGATGATGTGTGATAGGTCTTGAAGTTTCATGTTATTTATGGGTATTTGTATAGCATTTTGGATTAGATTGTACATTTATATTGTGTATTTTGATGTTTTTGGTTCTTAGGAGTGATTGGAGCTGAGATGGAGAAAAATATTCCATACACACACATTTTTGGAGCATTTTGATAAGGAAGCACAAAAAGGGAGCAATGACATCACGTTCTCGTGTGGGCACACGAATCTCAGTCCAAAATTGAGCTTTAGAGAAGAAATTCCAGCATTGAGGCTGCATTCCCGTTTGGCCAAACCGAAACAGGGACTAAAATAAAAAATTTAAAAAGTTTTGGGGTTAAAATGTAATTTTGCCAAACTTGAGGGACCAATCTGTAAATCTCGAAAAAGTTAATTTGCTGCTGCGGATTTCTAAAGGGCTGCTGCAGCTGACCTATTTTCTGATTATAAATAGAAGTTTCTTTTCATTTTGAAAAGGTGGGAGGTAGTAGACTAACAATAGACGTAGTTTTCCACTTTTAAGGAGCTTTCAAAGGCACTTTCTTCATTTTTGGGAGTCTTCCGAGTTTATAGACATCAATCGGTAACATTGTTCAATGAATTTTTCTTGTGATTCAGTTTTCATGATGAGTAGCTAAATTCATTCATCTGGTTGAAGGGTATTGAAGCGTTGGTTTGAATAGTTGTGAGATCTAAATGTTGTTTATCTCTCAATTTCTTGTGAGTATTTACTTGGTCTATTGCATGATTGATATGATTATTGTGAATTCATGAATAGCTGGTAGCATTCGATGCTTCTTAATAATCTAAAACCAATAAGACAACAAGGTTTGTTGTTTAAATAGGGTATAATATAATTTAATTACTTGGTAAGTAATTATTTATGTTATAAGAACAAGTAATTCGGTTTAATATAAAACAAGGTTTGTTTTATAGGAATTGGGATTGGGTCTATGTGTTTAATGTAATAGTTTTCTAAATCTTAGGAGGTTCTAAGATTAGTTTTCGACTAATATATGATTAATGAAGGTTTCTTAATCACTGAATTAAATGAGAGATTGAATTGTTTGGAGATTCCAACAATGAAAACTAATCTACTCATAAGTTAATGATAATATCATTGCATCTATGATCAACTGTTTAAATCAAGGTTGATATACAAACCCTTCGGCCAGATATTTTCTCATTATTTGTTTGCATCATTTTAGCTATTGTTTGCAATTTATTTCAACAACTTCAAAACCACCCCACCATTTGTTACTTGATTTAAAAGAGAGAAATTCACCATTCCCTAAGGAGACAACCTTACTTTCCTGTACTACATTAGTTTGGAAATAGGTTAACTTGTTTGTTGGCTTTACACCCCATCAATGTGTAGCTAAATTATTTAATCTAGGGTTTTGGATGTAGCCGCCGTACTATTTAATTTAATTTATGATTATGACCTTTTTATTAATTAATATTTATTATTCTTGTTTTTCATCCATATGAATACCTGATCAATATTTGCATGCTTTAAGGTGCTAGCTGAAGTAGCGAGAGTGGAAGGCTAGTATTAGTTTGTAGGAATAATAGACTTAGGTAGTGAGCCACGAGAGTAGGAACACCGCCTTTGCGAATAAAAATTCCAAAGTTCTTAATGTGCTTTTATTAATCCCTATAGTCACGAGAGTCATAGGGTTAGTTTAAGTAAGAGGGTTATTATACGAGAGTGTATAATTCTTAAATTGGTGAATTGTCGTGAGATTAATGAATCGAGAGTCACATATTTGTAGATTAAATTAAACTGAATAGTTGGTTGGTGAACCCTTTGCCCTAGGTTTCTCTTTTACTTATTTATATCTGTAAATAATTGCAATTGATAGTTTTATGTTTAGATTAGTTTAAATTGATAAATTAATAATCTAAATAATAATAAGAAATAATTTTAACCGGTACTTGGTAACCTTCTCTGTGGGATCGACCATTCTTTCTGCTTTACTACTAGTAATTGTATTAAGTAGGTAATTAATTATTTGACTAGTGTAATAATGGCTTGTCAACGATCCGTTGAGCCAATTGCTGGCCATTATCCAGAGTCCATCACCGAAGGGCATATGGCTGCAGCAATACGTTTAGTGTCTTTAGAAGTGGTCCGAAAGTAGATTGAATGTCGAGTTTGCGTTCCCCATATTGTGGAATATCATACTGCTTATGGCCTGCAGGAGAAGAACAAATTGCTCTCTGAACAACTGATTGAACAGGCAGGGCAACTGGAGACCAACATCAAAGAGGCTATTGTTGCCAAATCAAAGGCAAAGGAAGAACTGGAGAAGGCACAAGCCAAACGGAAACAACTGGAGGCGGAGCTAAGTGGTGTTGTTGCAAACACTGATGTGGCACTTGATGGATATGGGCGGATGACCACCATTGTGAACCAGCTGCATCCCAAGTTCCAGGATGCTGGAAAAGTTGTAGAAGGTGCGCAATCCAGCTGGAACTTTCTGAAGAATACCATCACCAAGCTAACACAGGAAGTAGGAACAACTCCCAACTCTCTAATGCCCATGACTCAGACCCCTCCAAGTCATCCTGAAGTCGGTGCAACAGTAGAAGAAAGGCAAACAACTTTAGGAATGCGACAAGATGTGACACCACCTGAAGAAGAGGCCCTTGATGTGGCACTGTTAGCTAGCAGGCCTGCAACCCCTCCAGCAGAGATATGATATCGCTTGGGAATGGATACCATGTTGAACCCTACTTTATATCTTGTTTTTTTTTTTTTGATTTAGGCTCCTGATGTTGCAGTGATCTGTGACCTGCACAAAACAATTTATTTGAACTTTTTTTTTTAGTAGTAAACAATGTCCTTGCTACTCACTTATTGATATCTTTTGGCTGCAATATCTCTTGCTAACTGTTGTTCTTTAGTATTGAGTTGATGCCAAGGGGTAGCAACGTACTTGCGCAAATATGATGTATTGATGGATCTATCTGCGATTGTTCCATCCAGATCTTTCAAAACATAGACACCCCAGCCTGAATGTTGACGAATTATATAAGGGCCCTCCCAGGTGGGGCTCCATTTTCCATAAACGCGATCTTTGTGCCCTAAAGGTAAGATTGCTCTCCACACCATTTCACCGATATTGAAACGCTTATATCTGACAAAATTGTTGTAAGCCCGGATGATCCCCATTTTCTGGTGAATTATATTTGCTGCTGCTATGTTGCGGCAATGGGCCAACTTGTCATGATCAATTAGCATGGTTGTTGCATAGTCGGCGGAATCCAAAGGAGACTACTGCTCAATTCGAAAGGAAGGGACTAGAATTTCAACAGGCAACATGGCATCATGCCCATAGACCAACTCATATGGGGTTGCCTTTGTACTATTTCTTTGTGTTACTCGATAAGCCCATAAAGCTTGACGCAGCACTTCATGCCATTGTCGTGGGTTATCAGAAATCTTTTTTTTGTATGATTCCTTTCAAGATTTTGTTTGTTGATTCAGCCCGACCATTACCTTGAGCAAAATAAGGAGAAGAATGAGTTAGGGTGAAACCCATATCTTTTGCAAACTGCGTCATATCTTGACCGGTAAAGTACTGTGCTTGATCTGTGATGATTGTTTCCGGCGAACCAAACCTGTAGATGATATATTCTTTGATAAAACTAATAACAGCCTTCTGATCTACATCCTTTAAAGGAATTGCTTCCACCCACTTAGTAAAATAGTCTGTTGCAACTAGAACATATCTGTGCCCAGCAGAAGAAGGTGGATGAATCATGCCAATAGCATCAAGGGCCCACCGAAATGGCCATGGTTTGACTATAAACTGCATTGGTTCCGGGTGTGTATGTGGAGCATCAGCATGTTTTTGACAATCTACACACTCTCTAGTGAAATTTATACAATCCGGAATCATAGTGGGCCAAAAATATCCGTGGCGGCGAAGTAGCCTTGCCATCTTCCTGCCTTCTTGGTTGGCACCACAAAAACCTTCTTGAGTTTCTAACACCAAGGCCATGGACTCTGGTTTTCCCAAACATCAAAGGAATACTTCATCAGATGTTTTACGATACAACTGTCCTTGCAACAACATGTAGTTGGGCGCCTATCTCCTGATAGATAACGGTGTATTGTGTGTCGGTTCTTGCAAAAACTTGATTATTGGCGTTTGCCAATCTTCTGCTGCAGTAATTGTTGCAACAGAAAATTCTGCTCTCAATGGATATCTGACATAGGCAAGAGTATCGAAATCAACCGTGCCGTAAGCAATGTCTGGTCCCAATGGCATTTTAAGGTACCCGGATGCTGTCTGTGCCATATCGTTTGCTTCTGCATTGAATTCTCTTTCAACGTTATGATACTCAATATGCTGGAATCGGGCGGCTAACCTATCTCCAACTGCTGCATATTTAGCCATAACTTTATCACTTCGCTCCATTTATTTCATCATTTGGCCAACGACTAAGGCAGAATCTCCGATGACCTTTGCATGAGTTGCACCATTATATAGAAGCGTCTCAAGTGCATGAATTAATCCTTCATACTCAGCTTGATTATGTGTAGCTTTGAAACTAGTCAAACTTGACATCGCAGTTTTGGTCCAAACGGTGGTGTAAGCACTATTCCTGCGCCACTGCATTGAAAAGTTCTTGAGCCATCGAAATGAACTATCCACATAGGGGTTTCTAGCTGGTGTACTTGAAAAGTATTAAGGAACTCGTTGTCCCAATCATCGTCAAGTGAAGGGTGTGAAGCCAGGAAATCTGCTAATGCTTATCCTTTCACCGCTGATTGTGATAGGTGTTGAAACTGATATTCCATCAAAGCCAGGACCCATTTTCCAATCCGGCCACTCATCATTGGTCGATGCAGCATATAGCGGACAAGATTAATTTTATGAATAACACAGACTAGTCTCGGAAGCATGTAATGCCGCAACTTAGTCGCAGCGAAATATAATGCTAAACAAAGTTTTTCAATTGGTGGATACCTGCGTTCAGTGTCTGTAAGCATTCTGCTGAGGTAGTATATAGCTTTTTTGAATCTGTCATGACCATCTTGTGCTAACAAACAACCCAATCTTCTGTTGCTGACAAATATGGCTTTAAAGGTTTATCCGATATTGGTGGAACCATTATTGGAGGAGTTGATAAAGCTTGTTTAATATCCTAAAAAGCATGTTGTTGCTCGTCACCCCACACAAAATCTGTTGCAGATTGCACTTTCAAAAGTGGAGAGAAAGGTTTCAGCTTCTTTGACAGATTTGAAATGAATCGGTGAAGGAATAACTTTGCCGATTAAGCTCTGTAACTCTTTCTTTGTCTTTGGGGGTCTAGTTTCAATGATTGCTTTAGCCTTTTGTACATCAATTTCAATACCCTTGGAGTGTAATAAGAACCCCAAGAACACTCCTGAGGAAACATCGAATGCGCACTTCAATGGGTTCAACATCAGTTTATACTTCCTCATACGCTCAAAACACTGACGTAGATGTTGTAACTGATCCCGGAAGGAATGTGATTCCATCACCACATCATCTATGTATACATCCAGAACCTTTCTGATGAGATCATGAAAGATGCAGTTCATTGCTCTTTGATACGCTGCTCCAGCATTCTTTAATTCAAATGGTATAACCTTCCACTGAAAAATGCCTAAAGATCCAGGCGCACGGAAAGCAGTCTTATGAATATCTGTAGGAGCTATGAAAATTTGGTTGTATCCAGCGTTGCCGTCAACAAAACTCATGACTTGAAAACCCATCAACCTATCAATCAATGTTTCCGCATTCGGCATTTGATGCTCATCCTTGGGAGATGCTAGATTAAGGTTACGGAAATCCGTGCAGACCCTGGTTTTGCCATTTTTCTTGATAACTGGGACCACATTAGAGAACTATTCAACATATACTCCAACTTCCATAAAGTCAACCACCAATAGACGTTCAATCTCTTCCTTCACCTTGTTGACCACATCATCTGAAAACTTCCTTGGCGGTTGTTTGAATGGCTTGAAACCCTTTTTTAAAGGGATACTGTGTTCTACCAAACTTTGATCTAAACCTGGCATTTTCGTATAGTCCCAAGCGAAACAATCACGATACTGCTTCAAACGATCACTTAGTGACTTCTTGTCATCGGCGGATAAGGAAGAACTGATATAAGTGGGTTTCTCCTCCCCAGCTGATTCTAAATTTATTGCTTTGACTGGTTCCTTGGTAACAACTACCTCATCACTTAGCTTTGGGGTTGCAGTAGCCAATTCATTCAAATCAATGACGTCACTATTTGAAACTGGATCGGCATCATAGATAACTTCATCCCAACATACCATTGGAATTTTAGTTTGATGCTGACTCTCATTCTCAAAATACTGCGACACACGCTTGATGGCAGCGTGCTTTTCCTTTGCCTACAATAATTCTTGATCTAACTCCATCGTCTCCAAAACACTTAACTGTTCAATTGTCTTCATTAAGTACTTCTTTAATAGACGGAGCAGCTGGCCGTAACATGTTGTAATTGTATGGCCGGTTGACTTCTTGTAAAAGCATAGTGGCCTGTTGCGGCCGACCATACTTATCCATTCCCAACAAGATGATATGAACCTACTTTACTGTCGTAATAATAAGCTTCTACAGCATTAGCCTAAGCTGTAAATGGACTTGCATCGGAAGCTATGATTTCTAGTCCATCTGTTTCGCATATAATAATCGCTTGATGTAATGAAGAAAGAATACATCTTGCTGAATGGATCCAGTCACGCCCTAAATGAGCATTGTAAGACGCTTTAGTGTCAACCACAAAGAATGCCGGCATCACCACTTGTGATCCTACCTCCACTTGCAATGGTAGAATTCCTTTAGCGGTTGTAACGTCTCCTGTAAATCCGTTGACAAAAACTTTAGTTGGCACTAAATATTTGAGTTGCTTGCCTAATCTCTGTAAAGCTATTGTAGGTAAGATATTAATTGCTGCACCATTTTCCTCCAACACTCATCTCAATGGTACTCCATCCGTGATGACACAAATGTATAATGGCCGAATGTGAGTCCCAGAGCTCTCAGCTGGCTGGGAGAGCATTATGACTGAGCCTTTACCTTCTTGATATAGCAGCTGAATACCACCAACCATAGCGTCATGTGGTTCTGTTACGAATGAAGCTGCTTCAGGAACAACCAGCGTGTTTGCAAAAGCTTTGGGGATGATAGTTGTTGCAGTTGCAGGTTCTTTCAAACGAAAAGTTTTTGGTAACATATAAACCATGTTTACTGGTGGGAAGAATGTATCCACTTTCCCCCACAACTGTGATCGTCTATCTTCCTGCCCTGAAAACTTATTCATTAACGTGTGCTGGGACAACAGGGATTGTTCCTCTTGTACCGTTCCTAACTTTCCTATTGCCCCCCTATTTTGTTTATTCATAACCCTCTGCCATCGTCGCTTCTGCGTCCTGGTCATCTTTTCTTTCCTTAATGGCGGAGTAGGGAACTGGGGATGAACAGCGCGATGCCATTCTCTATCATTCACGGGTGCTGCTCTGACTGACCTGGGCTCGGTATCGTCCCTTCGGCTGGGACACTGAATCCGTGGCCAAACTGACGGTCTTGTATTATGAACTTGATATGGTGAGTTAGCCCTAGGGTTAACAATTATATTCCCCAGTCTTGTATGGACGGGCACTCGTTGCTACGTCGGAAGAACTTCTGCATGTAAACCTTGATGTTGTAAACTCTATTGTTGATTTTGGTTCAAAGCACTCAAGATTGCATCTGACACAGCTCTTAGTTTCTCTTGCTTTGGGTCTAAACGTGTTTCCTTTTGTACCCATGTCAACGTCTGTCCATTTATCACTATATTCACTTTTGTTGCAGATGGACGTGTATTCTGTCAATGTAAATGGCCTCCAAATTTAGACTCTAGCTCTTGTAGCTGTTGCTTGACCTTATTATATACTTTGTCACAATCTTCACAACCAGTGACTAAACATGTGTCAGAGGAATGACTTCCGAATCCTACATTCACCATTCGGACGTGGTGTTGTGGCGGGAAAGGATTGACATTAATTTCAACTGGATGCTCTACTACAACATTGCCATCATCAATCATCTTTTGAAGTTTATTCCGAAACACCACGCAATCGTTTATGGTGCGAGTCCATGACATGTGGTATTTACAATATGTCTTTCCAACTAGATCTGCTGGCTTTGGTTGTCTATATCCCCTTCTGCACTGAATATGGCTTTTCTGGAACATGTCATAAAAAGAGGCTTCTTGTTGCGATATGTCAAAATAATATACTCTACCAACATTAGCTCCGTCAGCCTGCCCTGAGGTGCCTGCCGGTGCACCTACCGGTGGGGGAGTATTATAAGAATGTGGAACTATAGGGCGACGTAATGCGTCACACGTGTATTTACGGACATTGACAATTTCAGCAGCATTAACCTCGTATTCGTCGTCGTCCTCATCCTGAACCCATTGACTCTGATTCACTTATGCTACTGGAGCTTTGTTGAACCATTGCTTCGTCCTTCCCGGGTTCTTCTCCCTTTTATCTTTAATGACTTTCTCACATCTTCTTACAATATCTGCCAAATGATTCGAGAATCGAACAAAATGTGGTGTGACGGCCAACTGGACTTTGTAATCCTGAATTTCAGAAATTGCCATCTTGACAATAGTTGGCTCATCATACTTGTTTGGGATCTTAGCATACATTTGTCAAAAACGTATCAAGTAAGCTTCCGCAGCTTCTCCAAACTTCTGTCCAATTTCTGAAAGATCAACGATTGACAATCGTGTAGTATCCCTACGAAAGTAGGACAAGAATTCTCGTTGTTGCTTTTCCATGACGGGATAGAACCTGGTGCTAATGATCGATACAAGTCAAAAGCGGTCCCTTTTAGAGAATAAAGGAACAAACGCAACTTGATTAGAGGATTGTTGCTTACTGACCCGCACTGCAATTCAAACAAACTTATATGGTCCTCGGGTCTCTTCTCACCACTCCTGAAAATTGCTGAAAATCGAGAATCTTAAAGTTCTTTGGCAATGGCTCCCATTCAACATAGCCGGGATATGGCTTTCCTGGAATCTCTGGAATTTCTGTGCCCAGCTCCTTACGGATCTTGTCTTCTATCATTCTTGAAAATGCATCCTCAGCGTTTAAAATCTGATCAACACCTGTCTCAAAATTCTATTGCTGATTATCGTTTGCTGCTACGTCCGGTTCTTGTCTAACTTCGTTACCAAGATCAACCTGATGACGACCACCTCCTTGGCTCCATAAACGCTGGTGACGAGGGTTGTGTCTATTCCCCAAATTCTGGTTTCCGATACGGCTTCTAATAGCTTACACCCTATTTCCTTTCAGAATCTGGTTTGCTTCGTATTCCATCCACTGTTGTTCCTCTCTATTCTCTTCCAATGTTTGATGAGGTGGAACAATTTGTGGATCAGCAACCACAATACCAGAGCCTTGAGGTATGTGTGAATCATCCAAATTTGCAGCTGTTGTATTATTTCCTGGTACTCGGTTCTGATATAATATAAAGCGGCGGTCATTGGTCGCTTGTACGTGTTGACCAGCCTGCCTTGCATTTTCACTAACAGCACCTTGATTGTTTTCCGTACCAACAGGGCCCTAATTGATTGTTACACCCGCAGTTTCTTGGACACATACATCTGCTGTTCCCTGTGGTATGTACGTTAGCCTAGGCACACCTTCTGGTCCACTCAGTTGTGATAGGACCACCGCTGATCCTTGTCGATGTTGCATTGGTAAAACTTGCTGTGGAAATGCAGCATTTTGCAACTGAAATTGATTCGCCTCTTGCGCATTTCTTGCAACAGTATTATTTGTTGCATTTCCCACCTGCTGCATTCCTGGAGTCACCGGCCATGGCGCCTGGAATCCTTGATAGGGTAATTGTTGCCCTCATGACGTTCCAAGCATCATCGTTGATGTGCCATATTGAGGAGACAATGGAGGTAACTGCCGCCCATCAAAAGTAAAATTCCCTGGTGGTGACACAAAAGCTGGCTGACTTGGAACAACTGGGTAATACCAACTTTGTTTTCCTTGTAATGCTGCGTTGTGAGGTCCATTGCTTCTTGGTCCTGCTCCGAGATTCTACATCAAAGTATCTGTTGCAGATGTCTGGATTATGGCATGATATAAAGGATTATTAATCATACTGACTGGTGGCACCTATGAACTCGCTGCTCCTGTAGCCGCAATAACTACTGATGTCATAGATCTACTAAGTGCAGCACTCCCTGTGTTCGCATTATAGTTAATTAGCCTCTGAAAAGCATCCTCAAAATGCTCCACTTGTGTAGCCATAGCATGCTCTATTTCTGAAAATCATTGATGCAACATCTCAGGGGTTATCCCTAGAACCTGACTCGTTTGACCCCGGATACTGAACCAGGAACCTGAAACAACAGGCTCTGAAAGGCTGGAGTTTGTAACCCTTGACTTCTATAAGACCCGAGATAACTCGATCTTTCTCCAAACAGACCTGATCCCACATTGGACTGTTGCTGGCTAGATTGCTGCTGTATCCCGGTGGGCTGATCCGTTGTTACTGTTGAATAGGAATCAACTGCCGAAATGTTCGGAAGCATATTCATCGGCAAGAAACTCCCACCTGATGCAAAAGTCTGAATCGGTATAGAGCTCTGTCCTGCCGAATGTGTTGTTGCTGATGATTGAGGTAATGACATTGTTTTTCTGCTTAAACAGTGTCTGGACACGCAAATCGGTCCCACCGGGCGTGCCATATTTTATATTTGAGTCAAAATTGTATTTTATAGTAGAAACCGATTTGGCTCAAACTAATTTCAAGCGACCGCGTGATATTCTCAAAGTGCGTAAACCAAACGCTGGAATTGTCTTAAACAAGATGATGCCTTTGAATTGGCACTCAACCGGATAATGGAAATTCTAAAAAATGGATAAACGGCTTGCCAGAGCCTGTTTTATTGATTGAATGAATACGAATCGGCTTTGAATAGCCTGAATCGTGGAAATGATTATAACGTTTAAAGCTGAAACATAAACGAATACTAACAGAGTCCATAAATTATGCTTTAATTTTTATTATTTTATGAGTTTATGGACTTGGATGGTTTTAATTCATTAAGTTTTATTAATGTTTTGTGTTAGGAACTGGAAATCGGAGTTTACAATTTTTTTGAGCTAATTGATACAAAAAAGAGACTGCAAAAAAGGAACTGGAGGCTTGAACTGCAGAAACTCGAAGAAAGCATCTACGTTGGATTCCAACCTCTCACCCTTAGACAGCACAAGTTGAAGAGACTCAGCAATAGAAGAACCAGAATCGGTAGCCTTAGTAGGGGAAAACTCCGAATCAGAAGGAAAAGAAGACTGCTGCAACTTTGAGCGAACTCTAGAAGGAAGACCAGGGGAATTGAAAGAGTAAACCTCATTCTTCAAATTGACTAGTGGTGGGTTGTCGAAGCCCCCCAAAATAATTTACCAACTTAAATTGTAGATAGGATAAGTCAGGTCGATCCCACAGGGACGGGTTAAACTTCAAATAACTGGAACACGGAATTGGACAAACGAGAAAGAAAGTTGCAGAGTGTCACTCACTTGCACGAGTGGGTAAAGTCACTCAAGCAAGTGACTCTGCAGAACTGAAGACAAAGAAAGACAAATGGAACCTCACTCACGGGAGTGAGAATTCCGACTCAAGGGACTGACTCAACAAACTGGATATTCATTCCCTTTTCCCTATGTAATCAAGTTGTGATATTGCACTCTTTTGGTATGAATTCATGCTCATTCAGGCACTTATATATCTCTAAGTCACTTCCGATTTTTCCTAGAGGTATCTTTATGAACTCAATTAAACTATTTTCCAATGATTAATCAAGTCATAAAGTCATTAAGTTTTCAAGCCTTATATGAATGCTTATGCTAACCAAGTATATTCCTATCTCAATTAGAACCTTGGACTGTTACCTCCAAGTCATAAGTTGAAGCTAAATGATTCTGAACCTTGTTTACCCTTCCGGGATTCACTTAGTTCTGTGCACAATCAATCAAATGGCCAATTTAATCAAGAGGTAGATGAAAGCTTTAACTTCAAAACACAAAATCATCCGAATGCATTCACAAACTTAAACTACATAGGATCCAGAGAATGAAATCTAATTAACTACACATACAAACTACAGAAAATACAAGAAAAGAAGTAAAGCATTGAGAAGAAGCAAATCTGGATGGCTGAGCAACAGGTCACTCAGGCGAGTGAGGTCTGTTACTCCTCTTTTTCTGCTACTGGACTTCTTCTTCCTTTGGAGTTTTCTCCTCTCTCCACTCTCTTCTTCTCTCTCTGTGGTGTTTTGTGTGTTGTATGTCCACTCAGATCTATGTTCATGCTGGGAGTGCAGCTCCTTTTATAGAGCTTTGAAGCCGGTTCTTCTTCCAAGATAGCCTCCCCATGCTTGTAGTTGTTTAATCCTCCCAATGTCTTGAGCCTGCAATCCAACTTGGCTGTTCTTCTTTTCTTCTTCTAGCAGTGGCAGCATTGCTCTCATTGATCAGCAGAGGTGGCTGAGATTGCAGCTGGGAGACAAACATGCCTCTTTGAGGAGACATAGTCATTAATGACAAGATGCTTCTTGTCTAAGGGGCTGCTTCTTCGTCCAGCTCAGCAACATTACCTCAGCAGCCCATAAATTATTCTCTTGGCCTCCAATTTTCAGCAATTATTCAATTCAGCACTTACTAACAAAAACACAAAGACGAGTTAAGTAAAATGCACTAATGCTAGGAAATACCCCTCAATTTCCTACTAAATACAGAGTTAATTGTGATGCTTTTATGTAACAATTTGACCGTTATCAACTAGCCCAAACTGGAAGAATTGTTTGTCCTCAAGCAAAACAATCTAACCCCTTAAAAACTACTCATAGAAACAAGAAAACAATAGCAGCGGCGATGGATTGATGGGGGTGGTTGATGGAAAGAGAGCAGCAGCTTGTCAGTGGTGGTAGCAGAAGGATGATGACGGTTGCAGCAAGCATGGTGGACGGCGATGATGATGGTGTGACCTACTGATGGTGGCAGCTGTGGACTGGGGGTGGTCGCCGGCTTCAAATCGGGGAATAGCAGCAGCAGCGGCAGCAGACAACAGCAGTCGAACGGCGACTGAATGATGATAGTGAATTGGAGCGGGGGTCACGTCGACAACGGTGATGACGGCAGTCTGCTGAACTCCGGCGACGGTGAATTCCTCTGCTGATTTGGACGACAGCCACAAACGTGGTGGAACGGTGATGATGATGATGATGATGATGTTGTGGGGTTACTTGTAAAAGAAAAGAAAGAAGGTGAAAAATGTCAACTTGTATTTTTAGTTGGTTTTCATTTTTTATATCTTTCGCTACATTGTGGACAATGTTTGTTCTAAGTGTTGGGGGAGGGGGGGGGGATTTTAGGTGTTCTTGTCTGTTTGTGTTTAGTTTTTTTTTCATTTATTATTTTAGTGTTTGCTTGTGTTAAAAAAAAGAAAAAAAAGAAAACAAAATTAAAAAAAAAACAGAAAAATAAAAACAAATACCAAAAATAACCGATGATGAACTTAACTTGAGACTCTAAGAAATCTAATTACATTGGGACAAAAATTTCTTTTAAATCTGTGCATTATGTGTTATACCATGAATACTTTACTTGCGCACTTTAATCATAACTCTGGGATATAAACTTAACATGTATGTGTAATTGCCTAAATTCATGCGATATGCCAAAGTTTGATTTGATTCATTCAGTATTTGTACTATTTGCATGTGGGACCTTGCTATATTATGGAACCCAAAATAAGGCATTAACCCTATCATTACTTCAAACTAGAATAATTGGGGAGTGGTGGTTTAAAAATAGTCTTTTTACCTTCTTGCTTAAAGCACTTTCTGCTAAGTAAGTGTGGGGGAGGGGTTGTTGGCGGATGCTTTTCTGAGGTTAGATACAATTTAAAGAGGGAGAAAAAGAAGAGCATTCAATGTTGATGCCAGCCCATTGATAGGTGAGAAGTTTGGCAAACAACTAGCAGAGTGTCCTCAGGCCCGTCGGTGAGAAAATATGAGTAAGTACACTGCCCTAAGTTGCTGAGCTGCTATGTAAATCACTACATAAATCAAGTGAAAAAATACTCTGGGTAGGGGCCTGAGTGGGAAAGATCTTGAAGAAAAGCCATATAGATACTGAAGAATGGGCACGAGGGAAGTGCGTTAAATTTTATATTGTGAGGTGTAATTGTAAGCCTCCGGTTTCATAATATGTGTAGGAGTAACATTGCATTGAAGTACGGTCTGAATTAGGGATCCTAAGTTCACTCTTCAGTGGCATATTTGTATTTGAATTTTTGTATTTTATGCTATGTGTGACAGTGATGTCCCTAGGGAGTGGTTTACACACACACACAAAGGGGCTAAAGGGTAAAATCACGTAATGTATTTGATTCGGTTGTGAATTTTTGTTTCATTGTTACCATGATTTCTTTTGAGTGTTAGAGTTCCTGAGGCGCATCATAAAAAATAATTTGTTGAAAGTTTAGAATTCCTAGTTCGTTAATGCTTGAGGGCAAGCATGCTTTAAGTGTGGGGGAATTTGATAGAATCCATAAATTATGCTTTAATTGTTATTATTTTATGAGTTTCTGGACTTGGATGGTTTTAATTCATTAAGTTTTATTAATGTTTTGTGTTAGGAACTGGAAATCGGAGTTTACAATTTTTTTGAGCTAATTGATACAAAAAAGAGACTGCAAAAAAATCATCCAACTTGAGCAAAGGAAGAAGTTTACTCCGATTATGGACTCAATTGCAAAACATAGAAATTTCTGGAGGTAAAAGTTGATAATAAAGAAAATCTTGGACTGAAATCCACTATTGAAGAAAGTTTGGGCCCAATTGGAAGAAACTTGGAAGTGGAAGGACCAATGCTGCAATTTGTTGTTTAAATTTTGCTAGCATACGGCTGACCTAATTACTAGTTATAAAGGCCGTATGTTTTCTTGTTTTGGCCATCGTTTTTTACTTTATTCGAATGCACAGCCGTCGTTCTTTCTTCAAAGATATTCTTTCGGCTTCGGAGGTCAGCGGCTGTCTCCGTAGCTCCGAGTTTTCAATTCTTCTAGACTTGGTACTATTTTTCTATAAATAAATTAGCTATCATGTTCATGATTATGAATAGCTAAACCTTTTGTTTCTGATTCAAGTGATTTAATTCAATTATTTTACATGTGAGGTTTTGGTTTTAATTTAATCTTGTTTATGGTTTGAGTTATTTGCTTATTCTTGTTTTAAATTTATGAAAGTAAATACCAATTAAATTGACAACTTGGTTGTGTATTTTCTTTTTACTGCTATCCTTTGGTTGTATGTTACGTATTTGACATGAACCATTGGAATTTAGTAGCAACTAGGTGGATCATTGGTATTTGTGAGACTTGGATGCTTTTGTATGCCTAGGAGTAAGATTGACAAATTATAATTTAAGTTATTGCAGCTATCTCAATAATTTTGAATTGTGTTTCAAGCAGTACATGCAATAGTTTTTTCTGTTTTTTTTTGATAAAAATACATATGATAGTTTTTTTTTGTTTTTTTTTTTTAAAGATACATATGATAGTTACATGGCAAGCAATGTGCATTAATTATTTTTTGGGTATACCCCTGGAGTATTTTTTGAGTTTGTTGGAACCTGAACATCTTTCTATCCTTTCTTTTTGTTAAAAAAAAAGTGGATTAACTATTTTGTATTTAAAATAAATCATTTACATATGCTTTTATTTATTTGCAATCCGAGCTAGGAACAGTTTAAGATTGTGAGAGGTTGAACTTAATTGAACAGAGTCTAACCAAATTTTTGCAGTTGACTACCTGACTTTATAGTCCCACTAGACCAGTTACTTTTTGAGAGATTAAAAACTTCCTCGTATTACAGCCAAATCATGATTACCATTTGTACTTACATAATTTTATTTCTAGTAGACATGCATCTCCTTCGATGATTACCCAACTGAAATAGTATGATGATTACCCAACTGAAATGTGGGAGGAAAAAAATAGGGCCAGCAAAATAGATATGATTTCGTGATCAGTATTTTAATTGTCACTAGAATAAGGACACACTAGTTGTAAACGAAACCTTACCGCTAGTTCAATTGTAGCAGTAGTTGTATGGTTTTTAAACTTTAACGCCATTAATTAAGAAGAAAATGTAATGAATTATCTCCATTCAGAACGTCCTTTTACACTTAATAATTTTTTCTTTAACAAAAATTAAAGAAGAGATCTTGCGACACTATTAATTTAGCATTCAAATTTGACATTTTGAACTCTTAAACGTCATAGAAATTTTGAAGCAGCAGTATACAAGTTTTGGAAAGTGGCGCCCGTAATAAAGAAGTGGTGAACCAAGTTCTTAAAAAGCCAGTTTTAGTTATCAAAGCGATTGCGATGGCAAATAGTAATAATACGGCGGCACTCAGAAATTGGTTATTTCAGTTCTTCCGCCCTCATCGCCGCCATTGTCTTTGATCGGAAGCCACGTGTCCAACACAATTGCAAGTCGATCGACTCACCAACTGAACCCAATAGAGAGAATATTGCTCACAACCCCAAGAAAGCTCAAGAAGATAAAATAAAATAAAAAAATTATAGAAGGGAGATGATTGATTTGGGAGAGGTCCAAGGCTACGAAAATGTAAAGAACATGTGGTCATTAATGGAAAACTTAACATATACATATGTATACAGTACAAATTAGCTATATTTTCTCATGAATTTAAATATAATTTTCATATTGAGATTATGGGGATCTAATTCATCTCGAGACAATTAAAAAATTCACCAACGTAGGTACATACACAATTGAAAAAAAAATTAAATTAATAGATAAAATTATATATTGCAACAAAATTTAGTCATAGGAAGACAAGGCAACAGATTCATAATATTTATGAGTAAATTCCAGTGCACTAATGTTTTCAAAATATAATATGTATCACCGGCCATTAGTGGGACTTAGAGAATGGAATGGATTCAATTGAGAAATTGACTAATGACTATTACATATGCTTATTTAGTAGAACCTATCACTGGGAGAATAGCACATTAGATAATACTAAATACAAGATAATCCTAACTACACAATATCACAACTAAGTAGATAATTATTACATGAGATAATTATCACATTGACACGCCATCTCAAATTGATGACGGAGAAGGTAGGAGTCTTAGTTTGCCTGTGAACCACGATGCAACAGCAGCAGCAAGTGAACTGGAGAACAACATAAGAAGGGGACTGACGGCGGCGCAAGAAAGAGTAGCGGCACGACCGGAGGGAGGCTGACGACGGCGCAAGAATGTAGCACTGACCGAAAGATATTGATGGCGGCGCAAGAATGCAGCACGACCGGAGGAAGACTGGCGGCGCAAGAATGCAGCACTGACCGATGACTGATGGCGGCGCAATAATGCAGCACGACCGAAAGATGAGTTATAGAGGAGAGATTTTGCTGTGGACGGGGGTTGTGTTGTGATTTTGGTGTTTTATATGGGTTCAATTGGCAAATGCAGAAATTATAGGACCTTCTGGGACAAAAGATCACCTAGAGGGCTGATTTAGAAATTTTACAAAATAGAGGGACTAAAAATGAAAAATTGAGAGATAATTAACACAGTGACAGTGGGAAATTATGGTGTTTAAAGGTGGTTTTTACCTTTTTGACTACTTTGAGAATAAAATAAATTCGTTAACTACTAAAAAGCCGTTTAATTCTATCTCAGTTCTAGAAAAAAATAATGGTAAATAATGAAGATTAAGCGAATGACAACAATGCGTAAACCGAAGATTAACACCTCATGGCTTGTTAAAAGGCAAAAATGTTTGGTGATGTTCAAGGGTTGAACATATAAAATGAATTATGAACGTCTATAAAAGCATTTCACAGGTCTAGAGCCACAGGTGGCCGCGCTCTTAACAATCTACATGCCATATTCCTATTCGGTTGCAGATTTTGTACAATTGTTGTAAGAATATTTTATGGTTTTAGAAGAGAAACTTGTGTATCCGTTGCGAGCTTTCTCGCTTCCAAGTAAAATTTTCTACTTCCCTCATAACTTTTTCCTTTGTACAGTCCAATATAGTTGGTGATAAAAAAAGTAACAATCGCCACCACAAGTTAGGCTAGTTTGTCTCAGTTCTTTCACAAGAGAGGTTGAGTTCAAACTCTTGAAGATGATCGCATTCAGTAAACTGTGCATGAATTAGTGAAAGTGAGCTTTTATTTGGTTGGATTACAAAAAAGAAGTCAATGACTAGATATATTAAAACAAAATCTAACATGAATAAGGGACACCAATAATATTAACCTAGCTAATTCCCAGCGGTGTGACGGTGCTTCGATATGCGCCGCCGGTTTAACGGTGGAACTCCGATTAGCGTTTCCTGCAAAAAAAAGGCCTCGGGGTCTCCCGAGGGTAGACACTCCGATGCTTAAGTCAGTAAAAGGGTTGCTAGAAAGTTTAGGAAGGTAATTTGTTTGGCTATAGATTGCGTACCTGTATTATGGTATAAGCTACCCTATTTATAGGTATGAGATTACCTGGAATATTTTCGAATCCCACTAGGTTTCAGGAGTTTGCACTGCCCCAAGAGTCCCGGTTGGACTCTTCCTACCCTTGGCGGGCCGGTCCAGTCTCGGTGATGGATATGGACTAATCAAGTGCCCCTGCCAAGTGTTAGGTGACATAAATACAAACAACACTTGGCACAAAATAAGTATTACCTGAGACATACCCGAGAGTGGATAATTACCCTCGTTCGGTTAATTATCAAGCCACATGCCACACATCCTCGATGCAAACACACAACTCTCGATCTCGGAGGATCGAGAGGAGCTGGCGGGTCAGGCCTTGGCCCGGGAAGACGACCCGTTTCCCAATCCCGCCCAAATTTTCAATTGTGCGTTATTAGCGGGCACGTTCCCCAAACGGCGGCCTCAACATCATTACTCCCTTGAAACCCGCAATAACTGTCATGTCGTGGTCCATAATTAGAGGAACGTGGGGGAATCAATTTTGTTTTTAAGGAAAGAAAACTCTTCCGTCATTTCAACACTTAATCCTTTTCCTTTTTTTGCAAAACCACAAAATTCTTTCCTTTGCAAAAGCATTTCAGCCCCCCCTGCTCTTCTTTGCCAGAGCATCCGAATTCTCTTCCCGGTCGGAATTTTCCAGATTTTGCCTGACATACTGCTGCGGCGACGCCGTTTCCAGGGGAGTAGCGATTTGAAGCTTCTGAACGACACTGGGGAGTTATAATTCGAAAGGCGAGTGGTCACGTCCCCCTTCCATAATAAGTTTCTAGATCTAAATCTCCGATTTATTCCAAGTTTTTGTACCTTTCTGTTGTAGCCAGAGTAGATCCTTTGCCGGAATTATGGTCAGGGATTCCGAAGGAAAAACTGTTTTGGACTTTGTATCCACCATAGATTCGGTGGATAAGGTGGAGAACCTTAGATCAAAGTATGACTTCCCCCCAGCTCTAGAAGCGAGGGCTCCTTTAGGAAATGAGAGGGCTAATTCTCCTCCAAGGGGGAGAATTACCATGTACGATAGATTTATGCATCTAGGGCTTAGATTTCCTCTCTACCCCCTGTTTGAGGAGATTGTTTAACACTACAGGACTCCTCTCACTCGTTTTACCCCAAATTTAATTACTTTTGTACTGGGGTTTGCGAGAGTGTGCCAGTATGTGAAAGTAATACCTCAATTGATATTGTGGAGGTATTTCTTCCAAGTAGTTGTGGCTTCGACTTCTTTCCAAGAGTGGTATATCGTGAAACAACGCCTTAGAACTGGCGTGAAGAAGATGGTCGACGCGTATGACGATTCTCCGGAATGGAAACCGGACTTTGTGTTTGTAAAGGCGCCTGCGAGTTATTGTTTGCCATGGAATCTCCGAGAGACAGAGTGTCTCAGGGCCATACACGATGAATGGACCCAAGTGGATGAAGAATGCATCGAGGAGTTCCAGGCCGATGTGGAGAAAATCTTGAAATATTCGAAGGTCGTTAAATGGAACGACGTACAATATTGTGTGCCCCCTGTATATGGGAAGGAAAGAGACACGGTCAACATCGAGGGAGCAACCAGAATTCCCCTCGAACTCTCTGTTGAAGAAGATCAAGGTACTAATCATTTTCTTTTTCCTCTTCTTTGTTGTTAAGTCATGTCGTCGAGCAATGCTGGGTCTCGATTGTTTTATGATGAAGATCCTTTTATAATTGTGAATTCAGATGAGGATGTCCCTGTTACTGCTGCCCCCCAGAAGAAAAAGAAGAAAAGGATCGTGAAAGTGGGCGATAGGGCAAAATCCAAGAGGTCCAAGACGGACGCGCCCTCCAAGAAAACCACACAGCCGGACATCGAGACGGTGCCCCTTGCCACCGAGTCTGTTCAGAAACCTGTGCCGGAAGTAGGGCCAAGCATAGTTCCACCTGCGGCCGAGAAAGGCAAGGGCCCTCTCGAGGGTAAAGCGATAATCTTGCCCCCTCAGCTGTTTGAGGGTGGTTCGTCCATGGCGGTCCATACGTTTAGCAACCCACAGTCGATCGAATGTCCTGTTCTCGAGGAGTTCGCTGCTCAGCTGAACGAGGCTGACAGTTTGAGACTGGTAAGTCATTTTCCAGATTAGGTCGTAAATGCATATGTATATCAATGTGTTCTTGATATTATATGTTGGTACAGATAAGTGCGCCCTCGATGGCCTATCTAGTGCAGCTAAGGAAACTTTGAGAAGATCTGGCTACAGCTCAGGCAGAGAGGGATGAGGCGTTGTTCGAGGTGGTTACTCTCGAGGAGAAAGCACGCCAGGTACAAGTTAAGGAGGCCGAGATCGTCGAGGTGCAGGCTAAATACGATGAGCTCGAGGAGAAGATGAGGTCGTTCGCCAGCCTGCACATCTCCAAGGAGGAACTACATCAGTGGTGCACTGCCTTTATGAGCAAAATGATGTGTACAGGAGGGATGGCGGTAGCCCTCGAGGAGATGAACTTGGTTGCCACCAAGTGTGGTGCGCACCGAGTCGGCGTGGCAGGGTTGAAGAGGCTCGACCAGGATAGGCCAATCAAGGCCAAATGGTTCAAGCAGCTCCTGATGAAGGACCCAAAGAAAACCATGCACGAAGCCATGGTAAAGGTCTTGACAAGGTTGAGCCTCGAGCAGCTTCCTCTTTGGGGAGCTTTGACTGGCGCCATGGCGAAAATGAGTTCTCCCTCGGAGATTGCCTCATTTCCAGGCGACGTTCCTGCTGTCCTGGCCAGAGGTCCAAGTGAGGAGGATCCCATACCCGAGGTACCCGACGAATACATGGGTATCGAGCTTGAGGATGCCGATAAGGAAACCGAGGAGGACGTTACTGATACCGGCATTCCGGAGTTCAGAGAACCATTGAGGATGCCTCCCAGGCCCCTTCCAAGGATCCTTCCAATGACCCCTCCCAGGCAGTGATGCTGTATGAATCCTGCCCTCTGTAATAGTTGCTAGGCCGTTCAAACCATTTTTTTTCGTTGTAACGAACTAATATTCTTCTTTTTTTTTTTACGGATTTATGTAAAGATCTCTTTCCCTTCCATTTTTTTGTCCTCTGCGTTCTTTCAATTTGGTGTGATATGAGTGCCTTATATGTCTCTGGTGAAACAAGAGAGTTGGAGCGTTCACCGCGTTGACCACATGGTGTTATCAGAGGAGCAATTAAGAGAGTTCCCACTATATTCTATGATTAGCGGGATTCTGAGAAGTCGTGCTGATGTGCACAGCCTCAAGACGGTGGCACATTTGGAGAATGACCTACTCGACCCCATGAGGACGCACAATGTAAAGGTTAACCAGCGTCTGATAAATGAGATTAAAGGACTCCACGAGGAGATGCAGCGTCGAGAGGTTCAAAGCATGAAAGACCATAGTGACTCTCTGACTTTCGAGGCCGAGATCCATGATGAGCTGGTGACCTTGGAGAAGGAAAATGCTCGGCTTAGGGCCAGACAACAGATTACTATGTCTCCTTGGTTCCTCGAGAAGCACCATGTGTTAGCCCGACTCCAGCACAGGATTATGGTCAGGACTCGTGAGAAATCGCAGCCATGGATATATTGAAAGAGAAATCTCGTGAGATCGAGCTTCTTACATATTATAAGGCCCAACTGCAAAATCTTCTACTGGATAACAACATCGATTTTGAGGCCTTCGAGCGTCCGGAGGAAACTGTGGATCCTCGGACTCGGAGTTCTCGAGAGGAGCTGTTGATGAGGGTGCACGCTCAGGACACAGAGATCGTGGACCTTAAGGACAAATTGAATCAGTGTGTGAATCTCCTTAGCCTGCATGGGTATAAGGGGATTATTCATCCCTCCCCCGACAATCCTGTTAGGGAGGTGCTTGTAATAGTGTAGGATGCATGTACTTTTTTGTGAGTTCGCACGGTAGTGTGGAACGAATGTTTGTTTTACTCGAGTATTGATTTATAAAGTGCTTTTTAGGCCGAATGTAGAGTACATGGCTCCATCATAGGAATTGGGTATGAATTCCATGACTTGACACTGCGTTTTGCAATGTGTGTGAGGAAAGTTCCTCGAGCTTGTGTCCGGATGTTGAGTACACGGCTCTTGAGCGAGGATGGCCCTAAAGAGGGAGTCCATCTCGATGACTAGTCATGAATGCATTGGTACTAATGAAAGGAATATGTAATGTCTTTTATTGAATAATTTCCCGAGGACCCGGCTTAGCATTACATATGAAAGTATAAAACTGACTGGGTAAATAGAGCAAATAAAACACGTAATGGGCAAAGAGCAGACAAAGACTCAAACATAGAACCTGCGAAGATTCTGAATGTTCCACCATCGAAGAAGAATGGTTCCGCTATCATCCATGGCCTGTAGGCGGTAGCAGCCTGCTGGGGAAGTCTGGATAACCTTGTAAGGCCTTTCCCAATTTGCAGTGAGTTTTCTAGGGGTTTCTGCTCGACTGGCCTCGTTTTTCCTCAGTACGAGATCACCCACAGCGAGATCCGCGGCTTTTACCTTCTTGTTGTAATGTCTGCGAAGAATCTCTTTGTACTTGGCTTCTCGGATTCTGACGGCCTCTCGACGTTCCTCGAGCAGGTCAAGGCTTAACCGGATGTCATCATTATTGGTACTTTCGACGTAGTTTATGGTTTGAGGACTCGACAGACCTATCTCGACTGGGAGGACGGCGTCCATACCATAGACTAAGCTATACGGTGTCTCGCCGGTCGAGGAGTGGGCGGTTGTTCGGTATGACCACAGGACGTGAGGAAGCTCGTCGGCCCATGCCCCCTTCGCGTCATACAGCCTGGTCTTGATTCTATGCAGTATTGTTCTGTTGGTGGATTCGGCCTGCCCATTGGCTTGGGGATGAGCTACGCTTGAGAAGCGGCGTTCGATCTGCATTTCATTGCAACATGACTTGAAAGTGTTGCTCTCGAACTGGGTCCCATTGTCGGAGGCGATAACCTTCGGGATCCCAAAATGGCACACTATGTTCTGCCAGAAAAAATCCAAGACTTTCCTCCCTGTGATCGAGGCCAAGAGTTTGGCTTCCACCCATTAAGTGAAGTAATCTACTGCTACAATGACCCATCTTACTCCTCCTACTCCTTCCGGATGAAAGGGGCCAATGATATCAGTGCTCCATTGGTAGAATGGCCAAGGGCTTTGGATGGTGACCATCTCGTGCTGTGGCTGTCGGGTGATGGGAGAGAAGCGTTGACACTTCTCACATTTCTGTACCCATTGGTAGGCATCTTTGAAAATTGTTGGCCAGAAGTATCCTTCTCGCAAAACCTTCTTGGCGAGTGGTCTTGCTCCCATATGAGCTCCACATGATCCTTCGTGTATTTCTTCGAGTACGTAGGCTGCTTGCTTTGGACCGATACACCTTAGCATGGGTAGTAGATATCCATGCTTGTATAGGACGCCGTCTCGTAATGTGCATTTGACTGCCTTTAATCGGAGGGTTCTGGCTTCTGCTTTTCCGCTTGGCAACGTCCCATCTGTAAGGTATTGGATAAACGAGGTCATCCAAATGTCGACGTCTTCAACGATGGTTGCTACGGGGGCGTCTTAGATGCTAGGATTGGGAAGAATCTCGACCCACACTTTGCGGCTAAGGTGTGCAAAGTTCGAGGAGGCTAGCTTGCTGAGGGCGTCGGCTCTTTTATTTTTTGAGCGGACTATGTGGCACACGGTGCATTCCTTGAACTTGTCCTTGATGTCGAGGACCTTCTCGAGGTAGCGCTTGAGTTGCTCGTCGTTTGCTGTGTATTCTCCCAATATTTGTTTCACCACTACTTGAGAATCACTGAAAACTTGGATTTTGCGGATTCCGAGTTTTAGTGCCATGTTCAGTCCTACTATCAGCGCCTCATATTCTGCTACATTGTTGGTGACCGAGAAACCGAACCTCAGTGCATATTTATATTCTACGTCATACTCCTTCAAACTCTCGATGTCGGGATCAGCCGGAGGTTTGGATAATATGATGCCGGCTCCTCCCCCTTCATCGCAACGATATTCGTCGACGTACAGTGACCAGGCTCGAGGGCTGATGTGGACGCGAGTAGTGGGATCATCTTTAGGCTCCGCCATTTCCTTGACTTCCATGGCCAAGATAGCATCGATTTTAGCCGGGTCAACACTTATTCCGTCCTTGGAGACTTGATATCCTAGGAATTTCCCTGAACCTACAAAAAAGGTGCATTTTTTAGGATTCAGCTTCATGTTAATCTTGCGTAATATTGTGAAAATCTCCCGCATATCTGCGACCACTTGGTCATCCTTATTGGTCTTTATCACCATGTCGTCTACATAAATCTCGATGTTCCGGCCGATTTGGTCATGAAAGGTTCTGTTTACAAGACACTGGTATGTGGCTCCAATATTTTTTTAGCCCAAAGGGCATCTTGTCGTAGCAGTATACCCCCATCTCGGTGATGTAAACTGTCTTTTCCACATCTTCACGTGCCATGAGGATTTGATGATATCCCTTGTATGCGTTGAGGAAGCTGAGGACTCTGTATCCGGCAATGCCTTCTGCCATTTGATCTATGACTGGTAGAGGATAGCAATCCTTGGGGCAGTGTTTGTTGAGGTTAGTGTAGTCTTGGCACATGCGCCAAGAGTTGTCGGGTTTTCGTACCAAGACCAGGTTGGCTAACCAAGTAGGCCATAGGACTTCTCGGAGTATGTTGGCATGGACTAGCTTCATTGTTTCCTCGTTGATGACGTCGTTACGTTCTCGAGCAAATACTCTTTTCTTCTGTTGCACTGGTTTGACGTTTGGTTCAACATTTAGCTTATGTTACATGACTTCTCGAGGTACTCCAGTCATATCCGCTGGGGACCAGGCGAATATGTCATGGAATTCGCGCAGCAAGGCGCTGATCTCGGCCAGCAAGGAGTCTTGGAGAGAAACCCCAATCTGAACGGTCTTGGTGGGATCAGTTTCACTTAGGATTAATTCCCGCGTCTTGCTGCTGAACGGGGGAAGACTGGAGATCTCGGGATTTTTTGCCTCCGATGGGTTGACCGCTGGCATCATCACTAATGAACAGCTTTTGCCCTTTCATTAGTGATCATAAATTTGATTTTTTACTCCGTGGTTTTATGGTCGATTATGATATGAGGAACATCTATTGGTTTGAATATCAAAGAAACCTTGAAATGAGCAAATAGACGGGATTATGCTCAATTTGAAATTGAAAGCAAGTTGTTAACTTTAGTTCCACCTTTAGCGTAGATCAGGCCTGAAAAAAATAAAAATAATCTTTGATCTGATATTCCAAAGTTTTCAAATTTCCCATATCCGAATAGGCTGTGAAAAAAATTCTTACCTCTGGTATGCCAAATTATACCCAACTGGTCCATGCTTTAGGTTCCATTCCTTGTGGAGTTTTCACTACTAAGGACAACTAATTCTAGATCAGTGTTTAATAGTTGATTACATACATACTAATGAAACTGGATACATAGCCAAAAATTCATTAGTAAATGCAAGAGAATTTCAACCTAACCGCAACCATTTGACAAAGAAAATGAATTTAAGATCACAAAAGGCCCCATTTTGCATTAGCTTTCATTCTGATATGACTTTGCAAAGATTCAATTCTTAGCAAAGAAAATAATAAGAAAAACAATATTAGATCTCCATCAAACCTTCATTTTTGTTGATTATAATTTAAAAGTACCTTTATAAGTTCATAATGCTTAGGTGGTACTAAACTTGGTTTCACAGTATGGCCCATAACCTGTAAAAGAAAAATCATTCAAATGTTAATTTTTCGTGAAGTTTATCTCAAACCGCAAATATATATTTCATTACACATACTAACGAAAAAGGATATGGAACAATAAATTCATTGATAAATGCAAGATAATTTCAGTTGGAACCCAACCGCAGCAATTTGACGAAGAAGATATTGGCGATTTCAT